TACATGTTTTTAATTTAGGAAATTTTGGGGCATTTTTGTTTTTATGGCTATGTGTGTGTGTGTTTTGGTTGATTGTTGTGTGTGAATAGGCGCTATGACGTGTCGGAGGTGCGAGAGCGCCCATTATCGGCCTCCTCTGGAGTTTAACTGTGTATTGTGTGTAGGTGTGTGTTGGTTTGTAGTGTCGGTGGGCGGGCGGTAGTGTCTGGGGTCATTGACCTGCCTCGGTGTGCCGTGATATGCACTGTTATGCACTGGTGTCCTATAGTATGTACTTGGCTGCATGTGTGGTCGATGTGGGAATCTTGGTTGCCCATGTGGCTGTTGCATGTATCGTGGTGTGTATTGCTTATGTTGAGGTGTGAATTGCCTATTTTGAGGTGTGAATTGTCTATTTTGAGGTGTGAATTGCCTGTTTTGAGGTGTAAATTGCCTATTATTTTCTGCTCTGGTTTCCCATCGGCGTGATTGCGAGTTGCTACCCTCCTCTAACTGTCTCACAACTTCTAATTTTGGGATAAGCGCTATTAAATCATCAAGTTTGGTCGGCGGCGGAAACCCTGCAAGACGTGCCCTATTTGTCGCGTTTATACCTGTCAATATTACCTCCAGTAAGTCGTATTCTGTTGGTATTAGGATTTCTGCTGACTCTTTTACCTGGATAATGAAATCTGAAAGTGACTCGAATTGACCCTGTACCCTATAAACTGTTTGATGTACTGTACCCTATAAACTGTAACCAATATGTGATGATGTGGTGTAGTATGAGTGTAAATGAAGATACCTGGGCCCTATAAACTGTTTGAGTCAGGAGCTGTTGTTTTGCCCTTTCTGGCAGAAAGGTACTAATTATAGTAGGAATTGTTTTACCCTTGACCTCCCAGTTCTCCTGTAATGCCATGGTCCAAATATCCCTTAATTGCCCTGCTGTTTTGTGTAACAATGCTATTGTGATTGATTTGTCGTCGGCTAACTTTAATTTCTCAATTTGAATGGCCGTTTTCAAGAAGGCTAACAATTTGCTTGTGTCAGTGCCGTCGCAGTTGGGAGCTTTCGACGCTAGATCGTCGACTAATCTCGGGTTTGTGTGGGTGTGTGTTGATTGTGTTACTGGTTTGTTTTGAGATAAAGCTTGAGCGATTGAATCGCCTATGGCTTGGGCTGTGATTCTAATCATTTCCGCCGTCTGATCCGCTAAGATGGGTGTGTTTTGTTCCGTGGGTTTTGGTGTGTCTGGTACCGTTGGCACTTGCGCTGTCACCGCGTTCTTTAAAATGACCCTATTTTCTTCCAGTGTCTTGGCTGGGGTTAAGCCCCACTTCTCGCACTGTAGAATTGCGCTTTGCGCATCAAAATCTCGTATCCATGATACCCCTGTGGGTTTTGTTTCCCACTCGTAAATCTTGGACATCTTGCCTTGATCTACTATTATTTGAATAGTAAAAAAAATTCAATACCTAACAACTTCTTTAATATCAACTATTTTATCAAACAGGTGGGAAGAGTTTGGGCTGGGCAAATTGTAATTTAATAAGACAAAGAGAGAAATTATTTAAAAAAAAAGGTGTGAATTTTGGCTAATGATTGTATTTTACTGCAATTGGTGTGTCAAATGTTTGACTAAGATCTGATTCCCTATATTGTTCAAATGTATGTCGTCCCTACGATTTGAATGTCTGTACGTGTGTAAATAATATTTATTTGAATTTAAAACATGTGTTAGAAAAATTGGCTGGGTATTTTGATTTGACAATGTGTGTAAAAATGTGTTGAATTGAGTAATTTTATCTATTGTGTGTGGTGTATATTCTGACCTAGGGAAATATGGTAATCCTAACAGTATCAACCTGGTGCCTAGATAACGTTTCCTGATTACCCTGAGCAATGATACATATTGCTGTGTCATCATTGTTATTGATGTATTGCTGAATATGTCATTGGTTCCTATCCATAACAATAATGGTATTTCACTGTTGAAATATGGATTTGTGATTTTGATTTGTTTCTTTAATTGTCCAATTGTTGCGCCTGAAATTCCCATACTGTATTCTAATTTTAATTTACTACCTTCTCGGTTAACAAAATATTCCAGACGTTTAGTCAGTGAATCGCCGAGTATTTGAATTTGTATCATATTACGGTATCAAGGTGGTCGAAAGAGTGTAGCAGGGTAATGGCATGTCGGTATGTCGGAATTCTTTTGTTTGGTTGTAGTGTCGGGCCTGCATGTTCAAGGTCGCTGCGAGTGAATGAAACTTTGTGAACTGTAAAATATAAACCTGTAATGCATTTTATGTCTGACATCTATTGCTGTACTGATTGTTGTGTTATTGTTGTACTAAATTACATGAAATTTTATGTAAGATAATAATATGTTGATGTGAACAATGAATTGACCCTGTGATTTTGGCCTGATTCAGAAGGAATCAACATTGTCAATTAATGGCCTAAATTGACTGAAATGTTATGAAGTGACGATTTACTCAAGCAAATGTTGTACACAGGCTCTTGGCTTTCTTTTGATTATGTAGTACATTTTTTTTTTACATTTATTATTATTATATATTTTTTTTTTACGTTTTAAATGTTTTTCTGTTTTTATATTTATTTTATATATTTATTTGTATTTTTGTTTAAGATGAGCCTGTAACAACTGTGTGTAATGTATATTTAAATCGTGTATGTTTGCTTGGAAATAACAAATCTGGCCTTAAATCGTCGCTTTATCTTTGAACTTCTGTTATCTAACATTCCAGTTCTGTTCTAAGTCTGTCTGGCCTATTAATGACATGGACTCTCAACTTTCACTAGCCCACCTCAAATATCAAAACTTTGCTGAACAACTTAAATTCTAAACACAACTTAAATTAAGGTGATGAGTTACAACTAAAATATGTCAGACTACGCTTTAAAATACTATTTTAATCATTAATTAATTCACTGCAGTACCCTTTCGGCTGTAAAAATTATGAAATAAAAATTTTTGGGGATATTTATGACTTTTTGGGGTTGGGGAGGTGACATACAAATGAATTTAAAATTCCCCCCAATTTTGAATTTTGATTTTTTGGTCGTGGCCTGTAAACTACACTGATGTGCACTTTGACTCCTAATTTTTTGCTTTTCGTAATAAAAATATTCATCAAACACTCATTCGGCCTGTCGTCGAGGTATATTTAGTTTAATTACTGCCTTTCAGACTTGATGTCGAACTCGTGAGTGATTACATAAATGCATTTAAATATATTCATCAACTTGGTTTAGTAAAATATTAATAAAAAACACCAAAGTTCTCCTAATTCTACTTTGAAATTAAAACATCCTCATTAAAATTGATTTTTAAATTTTCCTTGGAAATAAAATAAATTGAATGATATTGATTCACATTTCATGACGTGCCTAGCTATGCATGCTCGTGCGTTCCAGGTCGCCACGTGGTGCCGACCTGCAACCTGTCGATTTCCTGTCTGAACAAAGCACCTGGCTGGTCTGAGACACGTTTTAATCTATTCTATTTCTGTTAAAATTGCACTTTTGGCCGGATCTTGACGCTCTGCTACCACTATGTGGTGATGTGGAGTAGTATGAGTGTAAATGAAGATACCTGGGCCCTATATATCTTCCTCTAACCACTGCCAAATCACGCACATCTCCTGTCCTAACCCAACTCTATTGCAAGGAATTAATCTAACTCGTCAAAGTGCACAATATTACCTTAGCTGCCTATCACAGCCAGCTTTTATGTTCTTAATGTATCTAATTATAATATAATGAACAGAGAAATATATATATATGGACTTATTCTAATTCGTGAAAAAGGTTACTAGACTTAGCAAATGTGAATTCTAATTTACGATATTAATTGCCAGACCACGACCCTTCGAGAACCTAATAAACTACATGATTGAATTACCTTTTGCCCCAACCTACACCCCTTCCCCAACCCCTACTTCTATTAGCTAGACATCTTAGGCTACAGTCTACTTATCCGATCAGATGTACAGCTCCAGGCGCTCGACACTACACTGTACTCGTCTCTTGGTTCGCTGCGCGTGCCTACCCGGGTCGACTGCGCGCGCATCGTGGTCACGTGACTTGCGCTATTGTAGCGGTCCGCTACAGTATTTCCAGTTTTGTTAGTTTCAATGCATAGGGTGACACAAACATCTTACCTACTCAAGAGTTACCTACAGGCTACAGCAAATAAAAAGTAATATGGTAGTATCACCTGTAAGTTAGATTAAAACTTAATTTTAATTTAATTTAATAAGATTAAATGGAGTATGTTTTATCTATGATTAAAATCAACAACAGTAAATTAGAAAAAAAAACATGGATTACTTTGGCTGGTTCTAAGGCATTGTTAGAGCCCAACTTGTCAAGTTGTCAAGAGGTCATGAGTTTGTTCCTATAGATCGAGAGTGTGAATTTAACTCAGTTAGTTGTATGTCATAGTGTGTAACTGATCTGGAGTGTTCGCTTATCTGTGGCAGAAGTTTTTATATGATCAGTTGAAATCTCAAGAGGATGTTGATAGGACGAGTTTGTGCATTGTGAGTCTGAACTGGAATTTTGCTAGTTTTACTAATCCTTGCTGTGTTTATGTACAGGAAAAAAGTTGTCTTGTTAATTGTTGAGTTTTTTAGATGAAAAATACTGAAAACTAATTTTTAATAAAATTTGTCTCAATTAGTCCTTAACACTCGAGAGTTACCCCTCTATCTAAATATAACTGCTGATTTTAAAAGACAAAATTATTTCATCTTGTTTAAGGGCTTGTTTGTTTCAATGTATTATATAACAGTGTGGTTGTATGGCAGGTTGATGTTTTGGATGGAGAGTATAAGGCTAGAAGAGGTGAAGAGAGCAAAACGTGTTGAAGCGAGCGAACGTAGTGTTGGGAGAGGGACTCCACCGAGTGACCGAAATTGTACTGGATCATCTACATCAGCTGGACTACTGGCTATAGTGTATATAATAACAGTGTGCTTGTGTGGCAGGTTGATGTTCTGGACGGAGAGCATGGGGCTAGGAGAGGTGAAGAGTGTGTTGAAGCGAGCAGACATGTCAGGAGCCGCAGTGTCTATAGTGTTGGGTGAGGGACTCCACCGAGTGACCGATATTGTACTGGACCCTCTACATCAGCTGGTCTACTGGCTCGATGCAGACAAGCGCGAGGTTGAGCGCATCTCCTACAACGGCACCAACAGACAAAGCCTCTTTGCCTCCCCGGTAACTAGTCACTTATCTTGTCAAATTAGACCATTTTTCATGTTCCACACATTGCTTTTCTTGATGGAATTAATGCATTATTTTGTTAATCATAAACTTAATGTATTAAAACTTAAGTTTATGATATTACTAACCAATTGTGAAATTGAAGACGGAGGAGTAATTTAAAGATGAGCATCAACATGGTAACATCGCAACATCGCAACATCGCAATGGAAGCATTGATGTTTTCAGGGGGGAAACATAAATTTTATTGATGGTTTTTTATGTGTGTTTTTATCCGCTTCCGCTATTTGACCTTGACTGACAGTTTCAAATTTTCAAGAATTGAGCTATCGTTCTTAACTAAACTAATGTATCGATTACTTAAAAATTAAAACTAATGAAAATTCAGTAAAAAAAAACATAGATGTAACAAAAATATTCCTCACCTACCATAAATGTAAAAACATAAATGTTTCAAAAACATCGGATGTCAATGATTATCCTTAGAGTAATGACATTACATTGTAGTTGTGGGAGTGATCTAATATAACAAGGAAGTGTTTGGCAATATTGTGCAAGCAGACTGGATGCTGACCAATAGAAGCTGTTGCTTTTTTAGTCAAACACTACCTTGTCGGTATATTTTATTCTATGGATCAGTTTGTGAGAGTTAATAGTTATGGGTCCTGGCCTTTGGTCCAGACCTTTTTCTTCACAAAATGATTTGTAAGGCCTATATTATTTTTATTAAGAAAATGGTTTTGTGTTTTGTGTGCTACATTACCCAGAATATTTGGTAAACTACTACTTTAAACAAATAATGTATTGAAATTGTAAGCGTACAGATTAAATAAATTAAACCATAAAAACGACGTGAAATGAATATTGTCGCTAATGTTGTCATTGTGTTGCTAGGATACGCCAATGAAACTGGCTTTGTTTGAACACTACGTGATGTGGCTAGTGGAGGCTCGGTCCACAGTACGTCGCCAACACCTCGATACGTACGGCAACGTGTGGCAGTGCGCGGTGAGTGGCCCGACTGCATGGCGCTGTGATGTCATCCGCGTGGACGCCACGGCTCCTGCCATGTTCACCGTCATGCAGGAGGCCAACCAAGAGCTGGGTATGTCATGTTTGCTGGTGCATTGGATGACTAAATTTACTTTTCTAGTCTTAGATTATGATGGATTTTTTCACTGATGGTCTTTTTATAATGTTGTAAATTGCTTCATCATTAAACGTTTCAAACAATGTTTGAGTATCCCATTAATTTGTACAATTCAGTATTTGAAAAACAGCTTGATGAAGACAAATTAAAACTATGGTAGTTATTTTCTACTAGTAAACTTTGGCTTTGACGTTTGATAGAAGTAGACATTCCATTTTAATGTAAAAAAATAAAAGCCATTTTTGAATTTAAATTAATGTAATTGAATTAAGAGACTGACAGAGTAAGAGTACCTTTTGTGCCAATAACTGATTTCTGTCAAATCTTCAATAAGCTCAATATAATAAGTGGTGTATATGTAACATCCCTTTTTCACCTGTCCTACTAAACCGATTTACAAAATTGAAGTGTAATTCCAAGCTTATGAGTGGGGAGCGTGTTGGTCTAGTGATAGAGCGTGGGACTTCGGCCCCCGAGCTCCTGGGTTCAAATCCTGCCAACCACCAATGGATTTTATCTAAGTGATAATACCGTGATCCCCTCTAGACCTAGCCTGGAAAACAATTTATCTTTAGAACCTAGAGGGAAAAAACTTATGATCTAGCGCTAGGATCAATAGTAATAAAAAAAGTAATTTCCTTAAGAGCTTCACCCCCGCCCCATTTGATTTATCCATTAAAGAACACTTTCAATGATTCAGTGATGCTGATCAACTTTCTTTATAACAGTTTCAAATTGTAATTAGCTGATCCTTCAGTTGAATGTTTAGCCAAAGTCAGATTGTAAAAAGAGATGAAAAAGTTAATTGATAAAAATGTATTTTAGATGGGATACCCTTGATTGATTACAGTACAGTAGTTAAATATGTTTTCCTTAACAACTAACACGAGTGTCCTGTTCACAGTCCAGAGTGAGTGCAGTTCTTGTTCACATCTGTGTGTGACGGGTCCCACCTGTCTATGTGCTAATGGCACACGTGTCAAGCCTGGCCAGGAATGCCCCTCGATGTCCGTCGGGTCACCCGTCTTCATCACCAAGGTTCCTGCTGACTCTTCTTCTCCGAGTTTGCTTTGGACACTGTTCAAGATCACGTTGCTAACCTGCATAATCATTCCCATCGCACTTGCGCTGTTTGTGCTGCGTTACGACATCATGGCTTTGCTTCATTCCTGCATCAGTGCTACTATCAACGCTACCAGCAAGCCAGTCTTCTCAAAGTAAGAGATAATATCCTGATGAATGTTTGTTTTCTTCACAATAATAAGACCTTATCAGCTATTTTTGGAATTTTTGAACTACAAACCATATTTACAATATCTGTATTGAAACCTGTTATTTACGATTTATTGACTGCCTAAGAGTTGATTAGAATCAAAGACAATGATTTTTCAGGACAAACAGTAACTATTTTGAGCTACTTTTTTCCAACTCTACAATTTAACTCGGTTGCAAAACACCGATTTAACATTTAAATTTTATTTGCCCACTGAAAATATTATAGAGTAACCTCCATCAAAATGTCGCCCATCTAAGAGTTTGACATGAAAAAATAACATTGCTCTCTAAAAAAATACCTATACTAGCGTAGCAGGTAGTTGGTACTGCAGCAATTGAATCATAAACATATTAATTCACGTTTGTAAAAGTAAAACACAGAGATAGCAAAACACACACTATTCACAATAAATAACCTGTATTTTGTATTTCCAAGCATCCACTTCAACAACCCAGCGTACAACGTCAGTGCCAGCCATTTGGAGACAGTGTTTCATCACTCGAGGCTGACTCCTGGGGAACATCAGTACGAGAACCCCATCACCTCGGACAATGTAAGCAATCAAACTTGTCGTTCACAATCAGTGGCGGTTCCTAGGGGGGGGGGGGTCTACAGGGGCTAACCCTCCTCTCCCATGGGGCTCTAGAAAAATGAATTCAAACATACATTCTGTCCTAAAAACGTAACAGAGGTTTTTGGGTACAGTTCTAAACGCTAAAAATGGTTTAAGAAAATCACCAAACGGCTTTAAAAATACCAAATTTTCCAGGCGGTATGAAACAGGTGTCCCTGGTAGCAGCCCTCTTTGAACCGCCACTGATCACAATGTATCTCCTATAAAAGGCAGCTTAAATGCCAAGCAAAAATGAAATGTCTAAACATAAGATGAATCTACATTACTGCATGTGATGAAACTCTGTTGGAAAGCTTAATTTAAGATAAACTCACAGATTAACAAACACTTCTAACATTATTTTATTTTCATGAACTGAACTAGAATTGTGTATATAAAAACTAACAAACAAAACAGTGGCAGATGACTAATTTAAATCATTTAAATAATCAGCTGACAAAAGCAAGTAAAGACTATTTGAAATAAATTCATTTTACCAACATCCTCCCTTTCTTAACTTTTTTTATGTCTTTAAAAAGCGTCTGTTGCGAACATATAAGTTTCCACCAACTTGTACCACATATCTTCGATCTCTTTCTTTTTTTATAACTTTACCTTCTACCCAGGGATCCCTTCTCTCTTGAGGTTTCCTTTGAACCCAAACAACTTGTCCTGGTATCAGTGGGGCGAGGTCTTTAGCTCCTTTGTCAAAATATGTTTTGTATGCATCTTTCTTTTTATCCCACTTTTCAATTACTTTCACAGGAACATTAGGACGCAGCAGATCTTCACAAGTGGGTACAAAGCTTTTAGTTCTTCTAGACATTAACAACTGAGCTGGACTCTTACCAATTTCTTTGAGTGGTGTATTTCTCAACTCAAGAAGAGCCTGCTGAAAGTCGCCTTTGTCTTCTCTCACTTTTTTTAAAATACTCTTAAATATCTTTACAGCAGATTCAACTTTTCCATTTGCCTGGTGGTGATATGGAGAGGAAGTAATTATCTTAAATTTCCACTCTTCTGAAAAATCTTTAAATGCTTGACTTAATATAGGGGTGCCACTATCACCAACTACAATGTCTGGAATGCCGTATCTTGCAAATAACTCTTTACAGAAAACAATCAATGATTCAGAGGTACATTTTTGTGTTTTCCTAATCTCAAAAAATGACGAATAGTAATCAGTCACAATAATGAAGTGAGTTGAGCCTTCTTGAGCAAAATCAACCCCGATTCGCTGCCATGGTCGTGATGGTGTTTCTTGAAGTAAGAGGGTTTCTTTCCGTTGAGTCGGTGCATATTTCTTGCATACTAAACATTTTTCAACTTCTTTTCTTATATCTCCTGCCATTCCCGGCCAAAAAAATACATCTTTTGCTCTCCTTATACATGATTCAACCCCTTGATGTGAAAAATGAATTCTATGGACTAGTTCAATTGTCATGCTACTTGGGATAACAATCCGCTCTCCTTTGAGGACAAGTCCGTCTTCAACTCCAAGCTCTTCCTTAAAAGGCCAGTAATTCCATAGCTCCTTGGGAACTTGAGTCTTTCTATTAGGCCAACCATTTATAATCACCGGTATAAGCTTCTGAAGCACGGGGTCTTTGTATGTGTGTTCTTTCAGTTGGTTTAAACGCTCATCCGTAACATTTATGTACTCTAAGGACTTACACTGTTCAAACTCCTTTGTCGAGCTGTTCATTGAGGTTTCAAAAATCATTACTGAATTGTCCTGCATACTGCATTCATACTTAGTTTCTGGGGCGCGTGACAAAAAATCTGCTAAAAGCATTGTTTTACCTGGTCGATAAACAACAGTAAATGTAAACTTCTGCAATCGCAGCAACATTCTTTGCAACCGCTTAGGTGCGTTGACCAAAGGTTTTTTGAAAATAGTCTCAAGAGGTTTGTGATCGGTTTCTACCGTAATATCACACTTACCGAACAAATACTGTTCAAACCTTTCAAAGGCAAATAGAACTGCCAGGCATTCTTTCTCGATCTGAGCATAGTGGCATTCTGTTGGATTTAAAGTCCTTGATATATATGAAACTGGCTTACCATTTTGCAATAGCGAAGCACCCAAACCAAACTGACTTGCATCACATTGCAACGTCACAGGAGAGTCCTTATTGTAATACTGTAGGGTTGGAGAGTTGGTCACCATGTTAACTAATTTCTTGAAAGCCAATGAATGTAATTCCTGCCACGTCCACTTAACATCTTCTTTAATTAGAGTTCTTATTGGAACTGCTACTTCTGACAGTCCTGGCAGAAATTTACTTAAATAATTGATAAATCCCAAGAACCTTTGAGCTTCCTCCTTGTTCTGAGGCTCTTTCATATTTGAGACTGCTGATATCTTGTCAGGATCTGCTTTCAAGCCATCACTGCTCAAAACATGTCCCATGTACTTAACTTCCTTCAGTCCGATTTTACATTTATTCATGTTGAACTTTATATTTCTTTGTCTAGCTCGCTCAAGCAATGCATGCAGATTCTTGTTATGGTCCTCTAAAGCTTGTTCATCTGTGTCTCCACTGCCGTAAACTACGACATCATCTGCAATCGTAAAAATTCCTTTTAGTCCTTCCAGCTCTTCGTGTACTCGCCGTTGAAATTCTTCTGGAGCTGACTTTACTCCGAAAGGCATCCTTAGCCAGCGGTACCTCCCAAATGGAGTCCAAAATGTCGTTAATTTGCTTGCCTCTTCGGTTAACTTTATATGCCAAAACCCATCTTTTAGGTCTAGAGTACTAAATATCCTGGCTTTTATAAGTTTTGGAGCAACTTCTTCTATAGTGGGGACCTGATAATGTGACCGCTGGATAGCTTTGTTTAGTTGATGTGGGTCAATACAAATGCGTAACTTGTTCGGTTTCTTAACGACAACCATAGCACTGACCCATGAGGAAGGTTCCGTTACCTTACGTATTACACCTAATTCTTGAAGACGTTGTATTTCACTTTTTATCTCATCTTGTAAAACCAGAGGATATCTTCGAGGTGGAACCACTACAGGAACAACAGATTCGTCAAGTCTAAATTTATGTTTACCCTCAAAGCATCCTAGACCTTGACCAATGTCTTGAAAAGAAGATAGAATGGAGCTTGGATTTGGAGAATTCTTTAACTCAAAAACATCCTCATCTACTGCAATAAGCCCTAACCGTAAACAGTCTTGAGCTCCAATCAATGGAATATGCTTCGTATTGATAACTTCAAACGACATTCTTTGCTTAATATTCTTCCATATAACATGCAATGTTATTTTCCCAAGAGAAGCCTTTGAAGCACCACCATAGAAAGTAAGCGTTGTATTACTTTTTTGGAGGACTGGACGATCAACTCCAACCAGCTCCTTCAAAATATCGTAACTCATTACATTGCATGTCGCCCCGCTATCAAGTTGACATTTTAGCAATCGATTACCTTTCCTAAATGGGACTTTCAAATGGACGAATAGACGTTTTTTTGGAATGTCATCTTCCATTTCATATATGTCATTTTTGTCTACATAATCTCCAGGAATGGTATCTTCACAAGCAGAGCTTACTACTTTAATCTTTTCTTTTGCTTTAAGGCACATTTTAGCAAAATGATTGTTTTTTCGACATAAACTACACGCTTTTCCAAACGCAGGACAGTAACTTGCTCCTCTTTGGTGTTTCCCCCCACAGAATTTACACGAAAGAAGTTTTTGATCACTGTTTATTCTAAACGACTCATTAACTATATTTTCCGTAGAAGGTTCAGTCTCGTTAGTTCTACGTTCATTGATTTTTTTAGCAAGATTACTAGCCTGCTCATCAGAAAGACATATGCTTGTCGCATTATCAAGAGTCAGATCTTTTTTTGATAAGAGCCGTTTTCTTAAGTCATTATTTGATAAACCTACTACTAACCTATCACATAAGAGCTGCTCTTCAATTTCAAGCCTAGATAAATTTGACAGTGACTCAAATTCACATTTTCCTATCATTTCATGTAACCTGTTAATATACTCTTTACAAGACTCATTTGGTGATTGTGTAGCACTATTAAACATAAAGCGCTCAAAAGTAACATTCTTAGCATTATTAAAATAATCATCTAGTCTATCAATAATCTCATCAACACTGGCCTTGTCATTGCATATTTTATTTATTAGCTGTAATGTTTTACCTCCAATGAGAGACTGGAATAAAGCTACCTGAACTTTTTTGCTTGTTATCTTGCTGCATTTTGAGCCACCACACGCTTCAGCCAAAGTTAGATAGTTGTTCCATTGGACCTTGAATAACATCCATTTCTCTGCTGCATTTGTTTTGTCCGAAATGTCAAGTGGATCTGGTAGAGGTATTCCATTCATTATTGTAATTCTTCTAATAACCTGACACCATGTTGGAAAGCTTAATTTAAGATAAACTCACAGATTAACAAACACTTCTAACATTATTTTATTTTCATGAACTGAACTAGAATTGTGTATATAAAAACTAACAAACAAAACAGTGGCAGATGACTAATTTAAATCATTTAAATAATCAGCTGACAAAAGCAAGTAAAGACTATTTGAAATAAATTCATTTTACCAACAAACTCAAAACACATTAAGTTTACACTTTCAATCAGTCTGGCCAAATTATCGCTGCAAGATCAAATCAGTAGAAGTTTGGACACGATGAAACATAACTAACACCATTGTAAACATGATAAAAAATTAAATATTGAAATTTTTTATAATTCATACAGAATGTTATACAGTAGTTCAATTTTAAACATTATGAAAATGATATGTATTTTGAATGTTGGGCAAGTAGTTGGTAATAGTAAATGGTAAATGGTGTGAATAGAACCGTCTAAGATCAGCTGGTTTGTTTGTCGTTGCAGATTTCAGACGGAACACAGAGTACAATCACAAATGAAATCAACGAAACCAAGAAACCAAAGGTCATAGAGTTCCATGTCACTGACTTTGTCGATGGCGATTCTGCGAGCCTTGAATATTCAGAAGCCATCGGAGAATCTCACAAAACTCCACTCATAAGATAAAATTCAGCTACAACTGTTATACATTGTTGTTTGTTATATTTATAGAGATATTTATTTATTTTTAAGTTTTACATTTTAGCGTGAAACTATTTTAAGATATTGTAAAATTTGCAAGTAGTACCTATATATTTTGTGTCAGATGTTTAGTGTAGTGTATGACTAGTGAGATTGTGGACATACTAGACGAATCGTGATGCACTATCTGACCGCGTTTATCTGATCTCTGTGATATAAGAATGCATTCTCTTTTTAAGCTTAGAAGATTAAGAAAATAATACTCTTGGAAGTAAACTGAGCTTGAACCAATTAACTTAAATTTATGACATAATTTTTTAACATGTCAAAAAGACAATGCCTATCTTGAAAAGACTAAAACTAATTTTGCAGCCCTTTCCTATACTGACAGTCAGATATTATCCTTTCATAGTTATTTTTTAGGAAACAATCTAATAATATCTTTTCTCTATTATTTCTTTTTGGACATTATGATGGTAACAAACACCTAATGGAATGTTTGTTCAATAATTCCAGCGCTCATCATATACATAACAGATTATCAGTTATTTTAAAATATTTTAAATTGAGTGTAATGCATTTTATACGGGTCTCTTGCTTGATTCTTCACAACTAAAAGACTGTAAAAATTGATATAACAACTAATAAGTGATTTGTAAAATGACAAATACAATGTGAAGACTGAATATTATTATAATTTATAGATATGTATATTTTAAGGTATATTTAAGTGTATATTTAAGAATATTTTGTAAATGTCAATACAATTGATTCATATTTAATATAAACTTCCATCTTTTCATTTACATTCACCTTTTCCTTTCAAAGGTAGTTGAACTGCCCCTCCGGGCAGGATACATCAGATGTGGATGATCAGGAAAAAAGTGTGAATTGATTGTAAGCTTAGTTATTGTTATTGAGGACAATCGTCATTATACAATGAAGAGAATAGTTGTTTTCTGTTACAAAAACACATCCATTTTTCAAGCTGCTTCCTGAATGTTTTTAAAGAGTTTAAAAAACAAATAATTTAGTATATCAAAGTGTTTTTGTGCCGTACAGTTATTGGTAACAGAGAAAATTAAAAAAATTGTAAATGTAAAATTCCCGTGTTATTCTTATGGGGAATATTGTAAAATGTTGTAGTTTGCTTGTTTATGGATATATTTTAATCAAACTTGGCAAATTTATTTATTTTATACAAAGCTATTAATATTTTATTAAAAACCACACTTAATTGGTTTCATTGTAGCAGCAAACCAAGGTACTCGTTAAACCTAATGTTATTTAAATAGATTTAATTGAAAATCAATTCAGACAAATGGAAATTGAATGGAATGGAATGCTTAGTCGGCATTCGGCAGGTTTGCTGTGGCGGGGGTATTGTTCTTAAAACCAACACACAACTTTCATAAACAAGCACTATTTTGTTTAATTGTGGTTTTCCTGGGTCATTAACATACCCAACAAAGAATCATATCAGCGACAAGGAAAAGGAAGTGTCATAAATTGCACTGCTATCAACATCATTCAGATAAGCAGTGTTTTACAAGCAAGCATAAGGAGCTTATCAAGCATATAGTTAACAACTAGTACAAACTGGACAATGTGTAAAAAATATTTGACGCTCTGCAAATAGCCCACCTATGTTCAGGGATACTACCAATGATGGATAAATGTGCGATTGTGAGTGAGGATGATGAAGAGTTTTCGGGTATTGAAGATGAGTGTGAAGATGACTCAATATCTGAAGATTTCTCAATGGCCTGGTATGAGGTTGTCTTTGTCCTAGCAATACCAGCCATTCTAATACCTGGAGTTGGTGCCTGCCTTGTCTACCTCAGTCAATTTTGGTGCAGCTGTGAGTCAAGTTTATGAGTTCTTTATAATGATGGAAGATGAGTTTGGAGAACAGATATCTGAGGATTTCTCGATGGCTTGACATCAGACTTCCTGTGTTCAAGCAATAAAAGTGGTTTTACTGCCAGGGGTTGGTGCGTGCCTAGGAGCTGTTGGTGAAAAAATATTGGCCAGTTGTGGGTGAAAGGATAGTAAAAGGTATAGTTTGAAAGGAGCGTTAGTTGAAGGTTGAAAAAACTGCAATAGTATTTCAATAATTCAACAGTAGTTTTATTCCGTTTTTCACTTTTTATTCTTCATAGAGATGCTTGACTTTTTCCAATACAGACTGAAACGTTTCTTCTGTTTGATCAGTGAGCACATCATTGACATAGTCTTCAGTCACCGAATCAAACTTTTCTTGAGCTGGAAAATCACTCAATAAATCAGTAAAATTCTACAAAGATTGTTCCACATATTCCTCTGAAGACAAAAATTATCTTAATGTTTTATTCAATTTTTATAGTGTTTCTAAGCACAGTTAAATTTATATCGTATTGTTTTGTTGGAACATCACAATAAAAAAAAACGTCTCATGTTACAATATATTTAATTTACTAGTTTGTCTGTATTATAAAGATAATTTATTAAATAAATTACATCCTTGCTCCATCACAAGCAAGCTGCTGAACACAAAGGATAACAAACAAAAATTCAGGCTAAACCAAAAAAATTAACTAATTAAAATACACAATAAAATTGTTATCTTGATCAGTTTACTCAATAAATTGTTTTGACCTAGACCCAGGACCAATTTATTTATTGCAAACAATGTTAGTTTATTTATTTACGAACTCATCTATTTCATTATGTAAGAATATTGTTTTAACTGAAACCTCTACAATTTTTCAAGCAATTTTAAGAGTTTTTGTCTTCTTCATGTAAAGTACACACAAAGTCAACAAGTTTAGCTTTTTATCAGTATATAAGGTAAACTTACTTTTGATCATCAAGTGTCCAAACAATTCACACAAAGCTGGACCAACAAATTTGAAAATATCTCTATCTGAAACAGGTATAATTTTTTTTAATAGTCTATTTTATTATTCATTTTTGTTACATAATAGTGTGTTCTAGACTTTTCTAGAAATCCCTGAGGTGGAAAGTTTCTAAATTTGTATTTAGATTTGTATAAAATTATGATGGTTGTAATTAAAACAGATTAAATGGTTGGCATAGGCTGATGTTGAATGTTTTTTCGAAAAAAAAAATGTTCTTTGAAACCTTTTGAAAAGGATCTTGTGAGGTTTGGCCAATGTAAAAGAAGAGACAATAATCACGTATGAATCTGAAGATACCAGTCTTATTGGCTTTATCAATAAGGTTATTATAATAATCTTCGAAGCTAATTTTTTGAGAGCAATTTTTTTCTTCATCCTCACTAAATATTACCAATGATATTACTTTATGTTATCTATGTTATTGATATTTTTGTTAGTTACCGAACAAATTTTTCCCCTATAAAATTCTCTATTGTTTGTTACAGACAAGTCTCCTAAAAAAGAATCGAGTTATGAACACTACTTTTGACAACACTACTACTGATTGCAAATTATGACAATATAAGGTTCAAATTATTGTTTTCATAATTGATTGGTTTATCTAGCCAGGGCTCAGTCTGTAGGTGGTCGGGTTATGATGACTTCTACTGTAGTTTAGATTACACTACTCACCAGGTCCCGTAGGTTTGCGAGCCCACACATACACTCTGACATGGTTCCTTGACTCTCCTGGGTTCTGTTCTTGGAACCCTGAACCTCTGGTCACAGTAACATTGTGGGGTATTTCACTTTCTTGAAGCAAGTTCACAAGTTTGTAGACATCCCTGAAATCACAACTAATATTTTTGCTGTTTTGTGTCTTAAATTTGTTATCATAAATTTAAAGGCGCATTAGGAAGGTCCAAAATAAAACTTAATTTAAATACAACTTTTCTAATCCATGTAGACCTTTGTATGGTTGCTAATTCAATTAAAAGTTTTAAGAAAATAAAATAGTAATCAATGCACAGATTTAAAACAGCATAACAAATTTTGTTAGTGATTTAATTATTGTTGTTGAAAATTATTGACAAAAACTTAAAACGTTAAAGTCTATGTTTCTACTGTCTACCCTCTTGGGTATGTCACAGGCAATTTATTACTAAACTGATCATAATTTGAAAAGGTAAATTACAAAAATTAGTGAATCTTGTGTGCACAAAATGATGAAGTGAACTTTATTTTTTTCTTGTTTGCTTTCCTTGACTGTTAAGTCTAGGTCTAATCTAATGTGAATTTAAAATACTGTACTATAAAAACATACATTAATCTGAATGCAAAAGACTTTGAATTAAAAATAATATATTAAAAACAATGTTAACTATCATACTTGTTTAATGCAACTAAAATTCACCTTACAAATATAGGAATATTTTGCCCTTTGCTCAGCTGGAATGCAAATCCTTTGCTCGGGAACGACAGCAACATGTGACAAGGGCCAGCCAAATGCTCCACATTCTGTAAAACATAATCTTGTATCATGCACCTACAATGACAATTCACAATATAATCATTTAGGTACAATTTTGAATTTTAATTATAATTTAGAAGTTTTAGGTTTAATCGAGATAGGAGTATCATGCATCGTAGCTTAGATGCATTTTTGTTTATTTTATAAATCATGGATGGGAATTATCGAGTTAACTTATATATGATAGGTATAAAAATGAAAATGAGAACAAAATTCTGTTCTGTACAACAACTTTCAAGCAATTAGGTTTACTGACTGTAATGGAGGTCTTAAAAAATTAATTGGTTTAGACCTTTTACTCACAATTGTTTCTAGCATCATTTTCTCCTCCAAATAATAGAGATGATAATGAAGATGATTGACAGAGGCATTGGCACACAATCCGTTGAACCCCATTCTCAACGCTCTGGACAAAAGCATTGGTCAAACACAAATATAACATTAGGCTACAGCAGATATGACGTCAGTGTCTTCAATATCAAATTTTAACAATTAATAGATTTAAGTCAGACTAACATTACTGTAATTACTTACATAAAAACTAAGCATAAAATCAGTTAAGTTACCCAAGGGAATTTAATATTTCATCTCAATTATTTTAAAATTTAAGGGGCTATTTTAAAGGACTTAAAAGAATCAATACCAAAGGAGACAGCCAAAAAGGCAAAATAAAAGTTAATGCGATATTGTCAATAATAGTATACAAAGTGCAATGCTTACACGGACGAACAAACTTCCAACAGAATCTGCACAAGTTACAGTTTTACCCGACACTTGGACACAAGTTGTCCTACGAGAGATTATGAGAGTCAGTGTTTGCAATATTTGGCCTAGCATCCATTTTGGCTTCTTTCCTTCAAGTTTTTATTTATTTTTCACCTTGCTACTTCGAATCTATGTGTTATTAATATTTTTGGCTTAAACTTACGGTGATTTGCTGAGCAGAAAAAGCTCAATAGCAGTTAACAAACTATTTTCAGTCATGACTTGCGGTAGGCAATCATACAATGATGGGACCAACAGAGAATGACCAAAACCTATTGGACTCACATTTATCGCTAGGTAATTATCTGAAAATTGTAAACTTCATTTAGTAAACCATACATTAGACAAGATTAAATTAAATGCGTCACTTAAATTAAGATTTTGTGTTAGAGTTTTACTAATGACAAACCGTTTGTCGATAGCGTAATCGAAAATATAAAGCAAGTGTGGAACATATAGACTAGTTTAAAACAAACAAAATACTTTACAATATAAGAAAACATTTAATCAATGTTTCTTTTACATTTTTAGTACTAAAAGGAAGGTGTAAGTTACAGTAGTAATATTCAAAACCACTTCAAACAGCTGGTTGGTATCTAAAAATAAAAATATGATTCTTGTTCATAGAACTGGCCGACAGCTAGTTAAGGGGCCATCTACATATTACATAAACAGTTTTCATCATTTTTAAACTTCTCCCTTCCCCCCTGTGACGCTGCATAACGCAAGCGTGATCCAGTAAGCCCCCCCCCCCCTCCTCCACACCCAGTAAAGTAACAATGTCATATATTTTCTTAAACTAAAACAAGGTTGGAGTTTAAAATCTAGGTAAAATTTTCTCCTGAAGTCAAAAAAATTAATTTGAAGTTGGTTTTAAAGTAATGTTTACCTAAACAAAATATTTAAACAGTCCCTCCCCTTCTCATAACGATAAGCTGAACCCCTCCTCCTCACCCTTGAGCGTTAAGTAATATCTGGACGGCCCCTAACAAATGTTTGTAATTTGAAGACTTACTTTTATCTTTTCGATGAATGTTCCAAACTTGAAACAAAATTTCACCTTCATCCATTTTAGTAAAATTGAATACTGTTGGATCAAACATTTGTTTCATGGATTGGACATTTATTGGTTTGCGTCTTTGTGTTCCTCTGGCCACATTCAGCTGAACAAGAGTGAGTGAAATTAACTGCCATAAATAGGTACTTGAGTATCTTGAAACATCACTACCTATCCAAGGAAGAGGTATTTTATTTTAGATCTAAAACAATATATTGTCATTGGGATTTAGCAGTATTTCTTATAATAAAAATCAAACACAGCCAACTAATCTGAAAAACGTTCACTGTTGTTTTTAATACGGCGAATAAAATTCCAGCTACATGCAATAAATAATATTGATTATCAGTCTTAGGACTATTTCATTTAATTTCATAACTAATGATGCAAAAAGCTATTGGGCCAAACTGTCCATGTTTGCCCATGATTTGTAGTAGCCAACTATAAGTTAATTGGAAACTAACCCTCTGATATCCCAACATGGTTGAGGATTAAAATTTAGTTAAATTGAAATTTAAAAAACCGTTCCTCTCTAGTAATCACATTAACATTCTTATTAATCTCTGAAAGCATGGCAGCATCGTGGATGATGTCTTGCAATGGGAATATTCTTACCAAGTACAACAGCATTAAAATTATGGGAATGATGATAATGAATGGAGGCTTAGCCGTAGGCTTTTGGCTATAATTTAAAATTTTCTAGTCCCATTTAAAACTGACAACAATTCAGCTACACACATTATGAATTGATATCCAGATTACTTAGAGAAACAAAACAATATCAGCATGTTACATAAAGTAATAGCATAGACTAATCAACACAAGTAGACTTCTCATCCCATTGTACATTTTGAAGCTTGTTTTTTGTTTCTAGTTCATGTACGTACGTCCACACAGATCGCTTGTGTAGAAAAAATTTTGTTTCTTTTATTAAGGGTTATTTTCATGATTTGTGCTTTACTATTTGGTTATATGACTAGAAGAAGGTCCGTGAAGTTGGCGTACCCATATTAGCGTATCCACTTTTGATCATACCAATCGTTAGTTCATCGTTAGTTCTTGATAGTTCCCAAATTTTTTCGTTAGTTCTCAAAAAATAAAAAAGTTATAGCCGATTATAAGTGGGTACGCTAACTTCACACTTCCGGGTTCTAGCACGGGCCGTATTCTGAGGAGAAATGTTTACATCTATATACCAATCGTTAGTTCTTCGTTAGTCCTCGATAGTTCCCAAATTTTTTCGTTAGTTCTCAAAAAATAAAAAAGTTATGAGGCATACAAAGTGGGTACGCTAACTTCACAATTGTACAATTTCCAGCGGGAACAGTTTTTTTACTATAAATACCTATATCTATATACCAATCGTTAGTTCTTCGTTAGTTCTCGATAGTTCTCCAATATTTACGTTAGTTCTCAAAAAATAAAAAAGTTACGAGGCATACAAAGTGGGTACGCTAACTTCACAACTATACAATTTCCAGCGGGCACCGTTTCCTGACTATAAATGCTTATATCTATACACCAATCGTTAGTTCTTCGTTAGTTCTCGATAGTTCTCCAATATTTACGTTAGCTCTCAAAAAACCAAAAAGTTACGAGGCATACAAAGTGGGTACGCTAACTTCACAATTATACAATTTCCAGCGGGAACAGTTTTTTTACTATAAATGCCTATATCTATATACCAATCGTTAGTTCTTCGTTAGTTCTCGATAGTTCTCCAATATTTGCGTTAGTTCTCAAAAAATGAAAAAGTTACGAAGCATTAAAAGTGGGTACGCCAACTTCACAATTATAGAATTTCCAGCGGGCACAGTTTTCTAAATAAAAATGCTTATATTTATATACCAATCGTTAGTTCTTCGTTAGTTCTCGACAGTTCTCAAATATTTACGTTAGTTCTCAAAAAATAAAAAAGCTACGAGGCAAACAAAGTGGGTACGCTAACTTCACATCTATACAATTTCCAGCGGGCACCGTTTTATGACTATAAATGCTTATATCTATATACCAATTGGTAGTTCTTCGTTAGTTCTCGATAGTTCTCCAATATTTGCGTTAGTTCTCAAAAAATGAAAAAGTTACGAAGCATAAAAAGTGGGTACGCCAACTTCACAATTATAGAATTTCCAGCGGGCACAGTTTTTTAAATAAAAATGCTTATATTTATATACCAATCGTTAGTTCTTCGTTACTTCTCGATAGTTCTCAAATATTTACGTTAGTTGTCGAAAAACAAAATTACGAGGCATACAAAGTGGGTTTGCTAACTTCACGATTATACAATTTCCATCGGGCACCGATTTCTGACTATAAATGATTATATCTATATACCAATCGTTAGTTCTTTGTTAGTTCTCGGTAGTTCTCCAATATTTACTTTAGTTCTAAAAAAAATAAAAAAGTTACGAGGCATACAAAGTGGGTTTGCTGACTTCAAAATTATAAAATTTCCAGTGGTCACCGTTTTCCGACTAAAAACGCTTTTATCTTTATATAAATTTTTAGTTCCATGCACTGTAATTTGATTCATCTTCACACAATGAAAATCAAAGTAACACTGACATTAGAATAACTATCACATTATGATTCTCTCGAAGAGAAAGGATTGCTTATCAGTTCCAGGATAGCGCTTATCTGTGATATCCGCAATAGTAGTTGCAGGTGTCTTTCGGTTAGATTATTTTTAGGAGTGATAATTTTTATTACGGTATCAAAATGATTAACAGTTGAATATGTTCAGTTAATTAGAACATCCAAAAAAGAAAACGCTTCCAAAAATTTGTTTTAGATAAGCAATGAAATCATATTTATACCTACTTAGTTGTGTGAAAAAGTGCATTTTATAAGAAGTCCATCATGGAAACAAAATAAACTATCCATCGCAATGAAAACCAGAGTCTGCTAAGTAAAATGGTATAAAGTAATTTATAAGCAGTGATTATTTGAATTGGACTAAGCAGATAAAATATGTACGATCAAAGAACTTATGTTTGGTTAATTGAACTAATCGTTTGTATTGTTTGTATTTGTTTGTGTTCGGTATTAGTATTATAACGTAACACGTAACGAGTGACAGTTGCACGGATGGAGACTGGAAGGTCATACGGACTTGAACAAACTGGAGACTGGAGTGGTGGATGGAATAAATGTGTACAACACATTACTAGAATGGCGTATTGGGTATGGCGGGGTCGAGACAATATTTATTTAGTTGTATAGTAGTATACTGTAAGCATTTTTCGTTGAATGAAGGTGCGCGCTGGAAATCAGAAGTATTAAATAAGTTTATCTATTCATTACTGGCTATATACGTCTATTTATTTAATTTTTTTTAGAACTAACAAAAACAATCTGTGAGCTATCAAGATCTTACGATTAATATTATGATATAGGCACTTTTAGTCAGACAAGGGTGCACGCTAGGAATGATTTGGGTGTGAGGTTGGCATAACCACGTTTAAGACCTTATTGCCTTTTTATTTTTTAAGAACTAGTAATAATATTGGGGAACTAACAAGTAATAACGAAGAACTAAAAATTGGCAAATAGATATAAGCGTTTTTAGTCAGAAAACAGTGCCCGCTGGAAATTTTATAATTTTGAAGTCAGCGTACTCACTTTGTACGCCTCGTAACTTTTTTATTTTTTTGAGAACTAACGTAAATATTACAGAACTATCGAGAACTAACGAAGAACTAACGATTGGTATATAGATATAAGCATTTATAGGTGTAGTCAGAAAACTGTGCCAGCTGGAAATTCTATAATTGTGAAGTTGGCGTACCCACTTATGCTTCGTAACTTTTTAATTTTTTGAGAACTAACGCAAATATTGGAGAATTATCGAGAACTAACGAAGAACTAACAATTGGTGTATAGATATAAGCATTTATAGTCAAAAAACGGTGCCCGCTGGAAATTGTATGGTTGTAAAGTTAGCGTACCCACTTTGTTTGCCTCTTATCTTTTTTATTTTTTGAGAACTAACGTAAATATTGGAGAACTATCGAGAACTAACGAAGAACTAACGATTGGTATATAGATATAGGCATTTATAGTAAAAAAACTGTGCCCGCTGGAAATTCTATAATTGTGAAGTTGGCGTACCCACTTTTTATGCTTCGTAACTTTTTTATTTTTTGAGAACTAATGTAAATATTAGAGAACTATCGAGAACTAACGAAGAACTAACGATTGGTGTATAGATATAAGCATTTATAGTCAGAAAACGGTGCCCGCTGGAAATTGTATAGTTGTGAAGTTAGCGTACCCACTTTGTATGCCTCGTAGCTTTTTTATTTTTTGGGAACTAACGTAAATATTGGAGAACTATCGAGAACTAACGAAGAACTAACGATTGGTATATAGATATAGGCATTTATAGTAAAAAAACTGTTCCCGCTGGAAATTGTACAATTGTGAAGTTAGCGTACCCACTTTGTATGCCTCATAACTTTTTTATTTTTTGAGAACTAACGAAAAAATTTGGGAACTATCGAGGACTAACGAAGAACTAACGATTGGTATATAGATGTAAACATTTCTCCTCAGAATACGGCCCGTGCTAGAACCCGGAAGTGTGAAGTTAGCGTACCCACTTATAATCGGCTATAACTTTTTTATTTTTTGAGAACTAACGAAAAAATTTGGGAACTATCGAGAACTAACGATGAACTAACGATTGGTATGATCAAAAGTGGATACGCTAATATGGGTACGCCAACTTCACGGACCTACTAGAAGACCAGTTATTGTTTATGATTATGCAGTTTTATTTGGTTAAATTATGTTTTAAATGACTGAAATATCAAGAAATAAATTGTAAAGAAAACATAACCTCTACAGTTGGACGTACAGAACTAACAATAAAATTGGCTTCAGCTGTTCCATAAGGATGACAAATCTACTAAGGGAGTATGTTTTATCTATTGTAATAGCCTAAATTTAGTTGAATATCAGTAGGCCTATAATACAAACCTGTGCTAAATACTTGAACTTTCCTGGTAATATTTTTGAATCATCGATATGTAACTTATATTTAAAGTATTTGTTTTCATCTTGTAACGCTGACCATTTAGTAATCAGTGCTTTATCAAATGTTGAGTTTACATGAGAGAAATCACTCCAACAAGTTTCAAATATAAAATTGTCTTCTGAGTACTCGAATAAAGATGGCATTATGACGTCCTGAAATTAATACAATTAAAGATCAAAATATTAAAATAATAAACTTATTAAGTTACAGTACCTACTAACTGATCAGCATGTTAATAACTGAGGTAGCTTTCTAAATTGGATGCACATCAAGACTCAAGATAACTTTATTCATTTTTCATGTGTACATAGAATAGTGTCAGATTCTTCTGCTACTTGAGATTAATTGTAGTGTCATTATACGCTCGTTCATTTTGATTTAGCCTAATGGCAAATTTCAATAAGAATTATTTAAAACAAGAATTTTTTCTGATCTTTATGGCAGCATGATCCTGACTTAATGGAAAAGCTGATCTAAAAACTCTACACAGATCATCTCACTTACACATTTTACACTCGCCTTTACTCATATTTTGGGTTAAAATACGCAGTGGCTGTTCTAGGACCTTGTCATGGTGGGGGGAGTTCTCATGAAAGGAGGGGTCCTCGTTTTGGAATATTTTGTATTTTAAAAGCTGTTTGGCGCCTCTTAAAGCCATTTTTTACATCTTGAATTGTGTTCAAATTTAACCTTTGTTAAGTTAACATGTTTAAATTTAATTTTTGTAGGATCCAATGGGGATATCCCGTATAGCCACCCCCCCCCCCCTTGGAACCGCCACTGAAAATACGCACCCATGTGGTGTTCCCATTTCAATTGATTTAATGATACTGTAATAACAAATTGCACAGCCACTCAACATGAATCAGTAGTTTCAGTATTACAGTTGGCTCGTTAGGCCGGGACTGACTTTAATACGATAAGCATATGATGCTTGCATTTTTGAAATCATTTCCCCGTTTAACCAACTATTCCAAAAGATAAAAAACAATATGGTGCAATACACATAAACGACCCGATTACCTATAACCTACACTTTAACTTAGGTACCTAATCTAACCTTACTTCAAAGGACTTAATGGAGCCACGAATTTTCATAAACCACGACCTGCCTTCCCCACATGCCTTTTCTGCTGTAAATCCAATTCATGTAACCATACAGCACGTTTGGTTAGGTTAGGTTAGTTTAGAATAGAAAAATATCATTTTATTTTAATGCGATTAAAAATTGCCGTAAATTGACAATCAATATTAAATCAATGGTCAGCTGGTAACACAAATCATTCTAGGAGCCCAAAAGAAAGTAGTCACCAGTCAGTATCACTCCGCTCCTCGTTCCTCGACAAGCGATGTGCTCCGCAACTTGAAAAAATAGTTCCGTATATTTTTGTAATTTGCAGTGGTTTCCGCGCCTTAAAAAAATGTTTTACAGGAATTTTTTGTTTATTAAGATCGGAGGAATAATCTAAAAACGTTTTAAAGTCAAGTCCAGATTTACCCGATGTTTTAAATTACATCCACAAACATATCTGTGGGTACACTTCCATATCTGTTGGCACAAACAACCGAATGAAAATATCGTTCGATGTAGGCCTATAGATTATTCGATATAGGTTACTTAGGTAAGATTAACCCAACCTAACTAACCAAACGATATATCGAATTAAACAATCAAATAATCTATATTACTCATTCGGTTGTTTGTGCCAACAGATATGGAAGTGTACCCATCTATCATAAAATGAAACTGTCATAATCTAACCTAACTAACCAAACTTGCTGATAGTGAAAAAATCGCATGAAGGTTTACTAATTAATCGATATTAGCATAGCCCAGTTAAGAAACTGTACCCGGTCCCAAAAAGAACCGAATCAAATATTGTGTGTGTTCAGATCATTTTCTCTTGTCTAGACAATCAAAACTTAAGTTTAACGTATCATACCGATAAAAGATGTAAACTAGTCTAGGAAACACTTAAATAAAAGACATGGCATTTTACACTATCTTTTAAGTATAATTTGAAAAAGTAAATAAGATTTATGAATTAAACTGTATAACCTCTCAGGGAGAGATAGGGCTTTAGTAACTTCACTTCCACTTGCCAATGCCAGTCCCTGATAAGAAATTCCGAATCCGAAATTTGGCTAGTATCAGCAGTATGTTTTATGGTATCAGTATCGGCAACGGCAACGGCAGTCATTATTAGCAGCACTCAGCAGCCAATACAAAACAAACAAACAAATTACATTAAAGGTCGATTCACACCATCGATCTCTATTATTAGCGCGCTTGCGGCTATTTGCCATTGCACTGGAAGCATATATCGGAACACATCACCTTATTTTAGTTTCCTTCATCGGTTTGTTTTATGTTATTTTTAATTGTTTTTTATTTAGGTTAAAGCGGCTATTTGCCATTGCACTGGAAGCATATCGTAACTTAAATTAATTTGATCCATTTATTAGGTGAATGGTATTGAAACAAACTATGATATTGTTTCTCTCTACCACAATCTTTAATACCTTAAATCATAGGTCTAATAACAATAATTATCTTATAATAAGTTCAATTAGTATGCCTAGTCTATTTCAAACATTCCAACAAGATTAAAACCCTTGATTAAATAGTCTAGTATTGACACAGTAAATAAAATTGAAATGCGATTATTCTACAGAAAACAATCGCATAATTGGGTGCTATTACATTGACAACAAATACATAACCTCTAAATCGCAATTAGTAAATTAAAGCAATAACAAAACAATATGGCGTCGTCTCAAAAAGGCGAGCGTTTCAGGGCAGGAATTGGACTAGCCTACTGCGCATGCGCCAGAAAGAACCAAATCAGTTGTATTTGGTCTTCAACGAGTCGACTCAGGAGTCATGACTTACTAGTTCTAGTTCAGTTCAGTTTCAGTAATTCAGTTCTGCTGCTAGCTACCACCGTGACGGTTGACGACTTGAGTCAGTCATCTCTGTCATCACCATCATCCATTGCATTTTAAGTACCTATTCGGTACTTTAATACTAACTATGGGAATGGACTAAAAATTGAGTTTTCCCATTTTTTACCCTAAAAACATTGTTTTTTGTATTTTTCAAGTTATTTTGTCATACTTGACAAAATTAATAATTTAAACTTAATATGTTCAGAATATACCAAGAAAATTCCAGAGTACTTTCCAGAATATTCTGAGAATGTTCTCCAGATTTCTAGGCTATATAAAAATTTTCTTAGAATATTTTTTATGAATGATCTGAGTATATTTAAGGAAATTGCCTGGGATGTTGAGAATGATCTCAAACATTTTAGAAAAATTCCAGGAAATCCTATTATTTTTCATGTTGTATTTAAGTTACGGTATATACAAGTGAGTTAACAAATGTTTAGATTTTCTCGAATTCGATGTTGGCATATATTGATTGCAGTCCATGCCCTGGAATTTGAGTGGAGCAGAATCATTGCAACTATAAAATAAATTGAAATACCATCCAGAGAAAATATAGGAAATAAGGTCAACGATATTTGGTATCAAATTAAACTTACCAAATTCAAAATAAGTTTTTGGAATTTTTTACATACTTTAACCTTGTTTGAATAATCTTTATGTTGGTCTGGAATTTTCAGATTTTATTTTAGTTCCTTTATACATTTAAACAGACCAATGCATATGCAACTAAGCTTGCAACTTAACGATTGCAATACAAAAATACCCCCGCCGCAGCAAACCTGCAGACTAAGCGAATTTCAACTTTTCTGATTACATTTTTACTCAAATATTTCCATAAATAAGACATATTATTTATTCCCTATTTAAATAACATTAAATTTAACAAGTGCTTAGGTTTGCTGCTACGGGGAAGGTAAAAAGTGTTTTTTGACCATACGTGAATAGTATGGGATGAAATAAATAAATTTGCCAAATTTTATCAATATATATCCATAAACAAGTAAACTACAACAATTTTTATTTTCTCCATAAGAATAACATGGGAATTTAAAATTAAACTATTTTTGAATTTTCTCCGTGACCGTTAGGCATACAACAGCGCTTCAATATACTAAATTATTTCTTTTTTTAAGCTCTACAAAACGGTTTACAAATAAATTGCAAAATTTTTTGTTTTTCGGGTAAAAAATGGGGAAAACACATTTTTACCCCATAAACCCCTGTTCCCATGGTCCGATTATGCTGGATCGCGAACTCGTTCAAATAAACGTAGGTTTACACGTTTGTACCAAATTTCATCAAAATCGTATCATTTTTGTTCGAGTTATCGCGCTAACGGACACATATATATATATAAATATATATATATATATATATATATATATGAATTTGAACGGATGGTGTTTTTGGCCTCTAGGGACCTCAAAATGAAAAAGTAAATCGGTCCCGCGTCCAGGTCTTACCATGAGTACTACGGTAATAGCTTATTCCCTATATGGGAAATTCGCTAACACCAATAAATAATAACAATGGTATATAAAAAGCTGTTGTGTTTACTATTTTATATTTTTAAAGTGCATATTATGCAAATATTGACTACATCAGAACTTATGTTTAGAAACAAAGTAAAAAATAATTAAAAGAAGTATAAAAAAAATTATTACAGCTGGAAATAGTGGCATTGTAAATGATCATTCAATTTTAATAGTTTATGTAGAACATTTATTTTTAAAACATATAAAGTAAATCATAAACAGTGGTAATTTATCACAACAGTCCGTACTATCACACCTAGGGATGTTGCGATACCACTGTCTTTCCGATATTTGGTATCGATACCGTATCGCAAAAAAGTATCGATACCGGCTCAGTATCGGAACCAAAGTATCGATACCATCAGTATCGTATTCATTCAATACTGGTGACGCCATATTGTGATTGTCTGATCTTCGATTAAAGTTCACTCACTCCAGTACAGTACAGCCAATGAGCCAACCATAAAATTTTTATTCGAGCTGCTAAGACCTACTTAATTATGTAAAGATTGATAAAATTAAAATTAACCAAACATAGCCAACCTTTGTTTTCAATGTTACCTTAAAGTAAAAGTTCAAGTATCTGTGGTTCTAAGCCTATATCATTTAGGCATATCTTAAAAAAAAAAAACAATTTTATTACATTCACACACATTTGTGTTAACCATTCACCCTAAATTGACAAAAAAATTTTGAAATAACTAAGTGCCATCTTTTTTAATTTATTTGATGTTTTATAGTCCATGGTTTCATTTTATTTGCCTAACACAACGTTGCTAACATTGATGTGTAATTAAAATATCTCTGCAACCAAACCCTTAAGTTTTACCATTGAAGTAAAGCCATTGACTATATATACCTACAGTACTGTAGATATATATAGTCAATGGTTTTACTTATAGTTCTATAGTGAATCATAATTTACACAAACCACATATCAGACAAGCTAAACAAAAAAAATAATATTTAATTGGGTTAAAGATGGTTAAAGTCTGTGTCTTTTTTGGGTCCCTGTTGCTCCAGCCTTTTTGTAAAACAACCGCTCAGAAGGCAAAAGCGTAGCCATTTTACTCAGATTTGTCAGAAATGACCTTCCGATACTTACGATACGATACTGGCCTCTTGGTATCGATACCAAGTAAATATCGGAACTACCGATACCGATACGATACCAGCAGTATCGCAATAAAAGTATCGATACCTACTGGTATCGATAGTATCGCAACATCCCTAATCACACCTCACACTAATAACAAAACATTTTTAAGTCTTCAATCAGTTCACCAGCACCTCAATCAATGACTCTGTAACAAAAAAACTCTGTTTTAGGTTAATTTAATAAACATGGGCAACACATTCAATGTGAAGCCTACAGCGCAGTTCACACTAGTAAACTTATTGTATGTGGTACTATGGGGTTATTGCATGAAGTTTTGGCTGTTATTTTTTTTTTCGTGTCACTATAACATAGTAAAATGTACAGTACAATAGACTCCCTCTTATCCAGACTCTCGGGACCGAGGTCAGTCCGGATAATGGGTTTTCTCGTTAAACTGACGTCCCACAAACTCATTAAAACTGACCGTTTAAATGCATACTGTATATACAGTATTTGACTAAAATGTAGTAGAGCATAATCACTGTTCTCATATCCTTAACACAAGAACAGTCGTTTCAGTAACGCTTACCTCCCACTTCCTGCCGACCTAGTCCGGTTAAACCGATGTGCTGATAAAAATTGCCCGGTTAAAGGCCTATTTTGCTTGGAGCGATTGCAGCGATAGTCGTATGGCGATAATCGCTCCGCGATAGTAGCCGGGCACTGCTCTGACGGAGTTTGCGTTGTCCTGTTTTGCTTAGAGCGACTATCGCAAGAGTCGTGGACCACTGCCCCGGGGACCAGTCTGAGCGATAATCGCGCCGCGACTGATGCGCAGAACCTCAAAACAGTGCACTTCACTCAGTAGGCACATAATAGGGGTTAAATTAACCATAATTTACTTTTTTGTTCAAATAATTTTTTCTATTCATGTGCTGTTACGATTCTACTGTTTTGGTTATATTTCATTACACATTAATTTCATTTTCTAAATTAAATTTTAGTAGAAACAGACGACTTGTTTTAATTTGTTAAGGTAATTTACGTCTATTCAAATTTATTAAATATAAAATGCTTGACTGTTCCAAGTTGTTATGTGTTATTTACGTAGTGTGGGCGTTAATACTGTGTCAGTTTTTGTATGAATATTTTTTTTTTAATTTAGACTCCAGGTTTTATTTTCCGACATTCATGTACTCTTATTGATATCACTATTTTTTTATTTATATAAATATATTTTTTCATTGATATCACTACAGTTTTCTATTTATGTCCTATCTAGTGACCTCTAGTGATACGTATCCATCCCTAATCCTACGTATCACTATGTATTTTCAATCGATCGTCCATTGATACTTCCACTAGGGTCGAGTGGAGCCTCGTCTCCTAAATCCTCACAGAGGAGACGCTTTAATGACTTACAATTCGCACTCATGACTTCACCATTGTGAGTGCTGATATTTAACTAACTATGAAAAATCGCTGTGCGACCGAAGATCAATCGCTCTAAGCAAAACGGCCGCCTTGTCAGCTATAGTAGCTGAGCGATAATCGCTGTGCGACTATCGCTACAGTCGCTCCAAGCAAAATAGGCCTTAAGAGATGTAATTTCCACCGAGTGTTGTCTGGTTTAACCGATGTCAGGTTAAAAGGTGTCCGAATAAGAGGGAGTCTACTGTACCTTATCATGGCTATTAAACATAGTAATAATGTTCCCTAATATGCAGCAAGGAAAATCAATTTTACTTAGCCTAAATACAAGGCGAAGAAGACTGATTCTGAAAATTACATTGCACTGCAACAGCAATGTTATGGGGTAAAGTTCTGCAGAGAAACTTTAATGTATTATACTATCCTATCAAATTTTCAGTTTCTATAAATTAATAGGCCTACTGACAAGAGCTTCAAATTTATATAAAATATATTGATTAAGAAATAGGCCTGCTTATTAATCTGTTAGCCTATGGGTCTTTTTAAAAAGAGGACCACCCGCCAATCTTTTACAGACCATTGCGGCGTTTAGGTTATGTTAGCTTATAGGCCTACCACATAGAAAAAAACCACGCACCTGTATGAGTCGTGCATGCAGGACAGCAGGAGAGTCAGAGTGGTGGGGAAAGACACCTCGCCCCAACGACTTATCCCCACCACTGCTCCAGGCCCTTCCCCACCATCACCCTTCACCCCTACATGCGCGAGACAGCCATGGTTCTGCGCAGGTTCTTTTGAAAGTGGTAGGCCTATAGTTTATAAACAAACAAGGTATCATTAACAAAACGTTTAGCTTTTTTCTATAAGCTAAGTTACTCATGAAAAGACACGACTAGGTATAATTTGGCGCTTTTGACAATCAGTTTTGATAGAAAACTGTACAACACTAACCCAACCCAATGATGATGCTATTGGAACAATTTGTACTGTATTTATTTAGGTGTTACCTGGTTTTTATTAACATTAACTAAACCAAACTGAACTAACCTTGTTTAACCACCACGGCACAGTGTGAAAGTCTATTTGAAAAGAATCTATGGCTTTAAATATTCATATCACGATACAGTACCTTTAATACTCAAAACAAAATTTGGAATTTATATCGCAGGGAATAATATAAAGTACTATTTGTATAACGAACTGATATTTCACCCAATATAGGCCTATATTGAAGGTACTGATATTGCAGGTTCTCTAAAGGACTTTACTGCAGTTCTTAATAGCCTACATTGTTTATAGTAAAACATTCTAGCATAAAATGAAGACTGTAAATGTATTGTTATTTGTTTCATCAAAATTACCCCAACTAAAGAATAAATTGTAGGCCTAGTTATTTTGATCTTTATAATAATGACCATAACAACCTGTATAATGATTTTTTACATCACTAAGTAAGTAGAGGACAAATTGTTTATTCCTAAAAGTAGGTAACGGGACAACAGTTTTTGGCCGCTACAAATAACTAGCCTACAGTTTAATCGTTTATAAAACTTAATGTATATTTTCCTGTCGTTGGAGTTTCAAATAGCATGTTTCTCATGGCCATGTTACTCTAAATAATTTCAAACAAACCGCTATTTAAATTAAACAAACGATGTTTTAATATTCTGACTATTACAACAGCGTGAGGAAATGCCTCGTTCAAAAGGTTACAGCATTCTTATTAAGTTAGAGACTATATGTGTGTATGAGTAGCAAGTATAATCATAGACAAAAAGAATTAAATATAGACTACCAGGCGTGCTGCGGTTGCCATGGTTACCATAGGTTCCGGCGCACACCGCTGTAGTTTACGTAGCGCGTACGCCGTAACTACCGTGGTGCTCCAAGCGGTGTGCGCCAGAACCTATGGTAACCGCAGCACAGCTGACGGTCTATACAACTCGCCCAAGGGTTTCTAATATGAAAGGTACACCGCTTGGTAACTTACTTTGTAAGTGCCTTTTACCACACAGCCTAGACAGTGGGTACACTTCCATATTTGTTGGCACAAACAACCGAATCAGTAATATTGATTATTCGATTGTTTAATTCGATATATCGTTTGGTTAGTTAGGTTAGGTTAACCTTACCTAACTAACCAAACGATATATCAAATAATTATATAATTATAAGATTCGTCCTTTTGCAATGTTTATGGGAAATGTCGGTAGTCCTAACTGTGTGACCCTACAGGGGTACAACAGTTTCTTAACTGGGCTACGCTAATATCGATTGGAACTATCAAATTGAAATATTGATTAATAATCGATATTTTAAAATATAATGTCTATTATAAAATTAATCTATCATAACCTAACCTAACTAACCAAACTTGTTGATGGTGAAAAAATCGCAGTTTACTAATCGAATCGATAGTTTCAATCGATATTAGTGTAGCCCAATTAAGAAACTGTATCCTTGTTTTATTTGGACAACACTTGGAACAAAACACAACAAACACTTTTAAAGATTAGGCCTACTGTATAAAAACTAACTTTAACTTACAAGGGTGCACGGGGATGGCACGGTAGAACGCATAACAATAAACACTCTTTTATACACTTAAATCCGACTTCAAAACATACGATACTTCGATAAAACCTCAAATTATTTTTAAAAAAACACAGCTTAAAGACTTTGAAAACTACAATCGCTGGGGCACGGCAGGGGCAGCGGCAGACAGATAAAAGAACGACAGAACAGTAAACAACTCTTTTGCTTCAATTGTGTGAGAGTCGTTCATTTGAGATCAGCTCAATTTTACGGTTTGCGCATGCGCAGTTGGCTAGTCCAATTCCTGCCCTGAAACGCTCGCCTCAAAAAGAGTAATTTTTTGCCGAAAGAGAGGAAGAAGAAAGTGCAGTCAACCTCCACTCAACAGCTCGATAGGTGTTGAGTAGTTTTGGTTGTATAAGTCGCGAGCGTTTCAAGGCAAACCAAAGACCATTCCACACCAGCCCTACCAACATCCTTGGGCAACCTATACCAAAGACCAAACCTCCTATCTCCTATAAAAAAAAAAAAAAAAAAAAAAAAAATCAATTATGGTTAAAAATATTTCAAAAACTGACGCAGGTGCAAACCAAGAAAACCAAAATGACTCTACACCAAACCCTACTCTCTGTGTAGTATGTGAACAAAACGTTGAGGAAAATGACAAGGCAGTTGAATGCGACTGCAAAAAATGGCACCACACCAGATGTGCCGGCATTACGGATAAGCAATACAAAGCTATGGTATCTGACAGATTCATACTGACATGGGTATGCAAAGATTGTAAACAACTTAGACCTAACCATAACTCAAATGATGCGAAAACACTCGCCAGCCAATCAAATCAAGGCTCGACAGGACTCGTCCAACAGGAAACTTCTGAGACAAACCCTGAAGATGGGCCTAAATCTACAGCAGACCACCCCCTGAACACACAAATGAACTGTATTGTAGATATCCTAATGAGTGACATCGAAAATCTAAAGAAGCAACTCCAAGACAAAAATCAAGAAAATCTTAAACTATCCGAGACAATTGCTATAAAAATGGAGATAATCTATAAATTAGAACAGACTGTCTATGACCTGTGTAAAGATTTTAACACCAACTCCGGTCCGAACATCAACAACGTAGCCAAAGATACCAATAGGCAAACAAATAAAAAAACAGGACCAACCTATCAGTCTAGGCCTACACAAAAAGAAACCCCACTGAACAAACAGACAATAGGCCTACCGGTACCCACACCGAACCACAGCAAAACCAGTGCACTGTCTCCATATTCTCACAGCCAGACCCCAACATCGAAGGAACAAATCGCACCTAAAGACCAAATAAACTGCTACCCTCCAAAACAAAAAAGTGGTCAAAACAAAACTCATCTGGAAAAAACCCAACACGCTAAGCCAAAGGAAAAACTTCAAAACACAGAAGCAATAATAATCAGCGACTCGCTCCTCCGTGGTACAGCCAACATCATAGAAACAGAATACAAAGCTAACATAACCTCAAAAATAATGCCAGGCTGTAAAATTAGAGATTGTAGCAAGTACTTGACTGAAATGGAACACAACCCTCACAAAATCATTTTAAATGTAGGTTCAAATAACACTATAGACGCAAAGACCCCAAACCATGTAATGCGGCCCATTTGGCTTACAATCGAGGCTGGCATGAAATATTTTAAGAATACTAAATGGTACGTCAACAGCATTCCTTACCGCTATGATGTCGAAAATGACTTCATCTACAAAGTTAATGAAGCGCTTAAATTCATGTGTGAAGAACTAGGCGCAAAATACATAGACACAAGCTCAGTGCTTACCAGCGAGTGTTTTGCCCTTGACGGAGTTCACCTCAATAGGAGGGGGTCATGGAGATTAGCAAAGGTGATCCTAGAAGAGGCTGATCTACAAGGACAGGGAAACACAAAACCTGTAGGCCTACCCAAACAATCTAAAAATAAGGAAATCCCCACCGTACACCAACCCCAGCTCTTCACTGATGACAATACAAAAGAAACTGAAGCCCGACTACCCACTGATGACGACGCGGAGGAAACGGAGAAAATGGATAAGACAAACCCTGACTTCCCACCAAACCAAAACAATATATGTGAAGAACATATAGGCATACACCACAAAGCCTGACTTGAAGCCCACAATTCGCCAACACTCACAACCTGCATCCCAAAACCAAGACAAAATCTAAAAAAGACCTGTAATACTGGAACAACAATATACTACTTAAATATACAGAGAGGCCTGCAAAAGAAAATTGATAAACTGATTTTTGAAATAAACAGCGTCAACCCTGAAATCCCCATAATTACAGAACACGGACATAAAACTGAGCAACTAAACCAGATTTACCTTGATGGCTACAAACTTGCAGCAGAATTCTCTCGAAAAACTCACCTATGGGGAGGAGTTGCAATCTATGTTAAGAATAATATAACCTCTACAGCAATACAAACCATCTCCACCAAGGACTTCAACCAGGAACAGACTGCAGAATTTGCCGTGGTACAACTAAATAAAAAGAAACAAAGCTTAATAATAATTGGGGCATATAGATCACCTGACCAAAACAAAAACCAGTTTTTTGACATTGCAGATAGCACAGCAATTCTCCAACAAAAGGAAAAAAATAGTTATCTTGGGTGACATAAACATCAAACTACAAAACCAAGATGATAAAGATGTTAAACAACTTTCAAATACACTAAAATCTCACAACTTACATCAAATTGAAACTTCTTTCACCAGAATAACCCCGACTTCAAAGAACTGCATTGATGCCTGCATTACAAACATAAACCCATCATTAATTAAAGCTACAGCCCAACAAAGTAATATATCAGACCACGAAGCAATTGTATGCAAGATATCTGATTTCTCCGCTCCACTTACAACGCCTTTTAAAAAAATGATCAGGCCTATTACTCCCCAAAATCTAGATTTGCTGAAAACCAAACTAAAAAATGAAAATTGGGAAAATGTCTATCAAAAACCCTCTGTAGACGACCAGTATAGGGCACTAATCCAAACCATAAGACTAAATATGGATGAAACCATGCCCAGGTTCCTTAAAACTATTAAAAACAAAAATCCAAACCGTTTTTGGGATGAAAATCTGCACAAACTCAGAAGTAACCTACAGACCGCACAAAATAAATACAATCTAACCGGAACAGACAAAGATAACGCCACCTACAAAAAGCTGAAGAAAATATATGACCTGGAAATAAAAGACAAAAAACGTAAACACATTTCAAACAAGATCAAGAGCTCCAGCAACCCAATAAAGGAAATATGGAACACCATAAACAAGGAAACAAACTCCAAAGCAGATTATATTGATAGGCCACTCACCCTGAACGTTAATCAAAACCTCACTAACGACCCAGGCTTGATCAGTGACACCTTCAACAGATACTTTGTATCCCAGGGTAACAATACTCGAATAAATGATCCTCACCCTCCTACAGACCAGCATGAAACTACCAACTTAACACAAGCCTTTGAATTATCAAATTTTAAGCCAATAACCATGGACCAACTCAAACAGATCTTCAAAGCACTACCACCAAAAAACTCATGTGGGTATGATGAAATTTCAAATAGAATTATCAAACACTGCCAGAGCGAAATCGCACCACCCCTTCTTCATATCATAAACTCTTCGATTAATCAAGCAAAAGTCCCATCTGGAATGAAAACTGCAACAGTATATCCTAAATATAAAAAAGGAGACAGTACTTTGATGGAAAACTACCGTCCGATATCAATCTTACCGACACTATCTAAATACCTCGAAAGAATAATCTATACACAGATCATGGAACACCTGACCAACCTACAGATACTATCCCCTCATCAACACGGGTTTAGAAAAAACAAATCTATCAACTCAGCACTAAATGAACTCCATGAAGCAATTACCATCCTCTGGGAAAATAAACAACCAGCATCAGGACTCTTCTTAGACATACAGAAAGCCTTTGACAGCCTAGATAGAGATATACTGTTTGACAAACTATACCAAATCAACATAAAAGGAAACGCACTAAATTGGATTAAAGACTATTTCAAAGATAGGCAACAACAGGTTGAAATAATTCACCAGATAAATAAAATACAAACAAAAACTAAATCACCCACTCAACTAACTAAACGAGGAATTCCTCAAGGATCTGTACTCGGACCCCTCTACTTCTTGATATACATCAATAGCTTCCCAAATCATCTAACACCAGAAAAAACTTGCATAATGTTTGCTGACGACACCACCATCATTTATCCAACATCATCTACAAACCATGCTGAAACAGAAAACACCCTAAAACTGGCATCAGAAATATGTTCTTCACTAAACCTCAAAATCAACACATCAAAAACTGTCAACATAAACTTTACAGCATTAGCTGTAAGACACGGGGTTCCGCAAGGTTCCATTATGGGACCTCTGTTATTTTTAGTAACAATCAATGACCTCTGAAATGAAATGAAATGAAATGTTTATTCGTCACATAAGTTTACAAGATTGTGATTTTCACATATAAACATATGACATGTCAATACCACTTTACAATCTAATAATACCATATGCTAAATTCTTTGTTTTTATCAATCCATAAAATTTAAAGCTAAGTTTTTATAAAATCATCTAGGGAATAAGGACACAAGAGAACGAGATAAGATTTTAGTTTTCTTTTAAAGGATGACATATTTTCTTCAGTTTTAATTTGATCTGGGAGGTTATTGTAAATTTTCCTACCCATGTACCATGGCGATCCTTCATACAGAGCTGTTCTATGCACAGGATATTGAAGATCATTCCTGTGTCGGGTGTTATATTGATGAGTGTAATTTTTCAACATAAATTCCTTATAATTTCTTTTTACAAAGATGCACAGTTGAAAAATATAAACTGCATAAATTGTCAAGAGTTTCATCTGAATAAAAAGGGGGCGGCAAGAGGAACGTGGTCTGGTATCAGCTAAAATTCTAACGGCAATTTTTTGTAAGATAAAAATATTCTTGGTAATGGGGGAGCTGCCCCATGAGATAATACCATAGGAAGACCTAGACATAAAATAAGAATGATACACAGCAAGAGCTGCATGCAAACCCGAAGACTTATAAACCACCCTTAGACCAAACAGTGCTTTTGCTAGAGACAAGCTAATTTGTATTTGATGATCAGACCATTTTAGATTTTCATTTATGTTTACACCCAGGAATTTAGTATTTGCAGAAGACTTTATGGAATCACCTGATTTTAGTTTGATTGTTATCTCACCTGCCTTCAGTTGTGGATTATGGAAATGAAGAAGATGAGTTTTGGAACAGTTTAGATGTAGTCCGTTTTGTGCAAACCAAGTTATCATGGAATCTAAATCTCGGGATGCAATGTTAGTTGCAGAAAAAATAGAAGGTGCTCTTACTAGCATTGTTGTGTCATCAGCGAATTGAATAATTTTGGAAGAAATTGAAAAAGACAAGTCATTGATGTAGAGGATGAACAGAAGAGGCCCCAATTTAGATCCCTGCGGAACACCATGGGTTACTGAGCTCCATTCAGAAAAATGTTTGACACCGGATTTATCTTTGATGACAACCTGCTGATATCTGTTAGTGATGTAACTAGAAAACCATGAAAAAGATGATCCAGATATCCCATACAATCTCAATTTCTCCAAGAGAATGTCATGCCTGACACAATCAAAGGCCTTAGACAAATCACAGAAAACACCACGGGACTTACTGACTTCCATGCAGTAAGAACTGCAGTAAAGTCCTTTAGAGAACCTGCAATATCAGTACCTTCAATATAGGCCTATATTGGGTGAAATATCAGTTCGTTATACAAATAGTACCAGACTACCTCTATACCAGACTTGAAGGTAATTGCATGTTGTATGCTGATGATACTTCCCTTATATCATGTAAAGCGACCCGTGAACAAGCAGAGCTGTCTGTTAAGAAGATTTTTGAGTCAGCCTCAAATTGGTTTGTTGACAATAAATTAGTGCTCAATAATGAGAAAACACAGTACATAACATTTAGCCTATGTGATTCCCAGATTGTTCCTTTCCAAGAGCCTGTCAAACTCCTTGGTATAACCCTTGACCCCTGTCTCAATTGGAAAGACCACATAAGCCAAGTCTGTACTAAACTAAGTAGAGTAGTACATCTTTTAAGACGTCTAAGTGACCAATTGCCACAGAGTACCCTTAGAATGTCCTTCTTTGCATTTTTCCAACCTCACATATCCTATGGGTTAATTTTGTGGGGCCACTCACCCAATGTCGAAAAGATCCTGCGACTGCAAAAGAAGGCAGTAAGGATTCTCTGTCATGCTCACTATAAAGAACACAGTAAGCCCTTGTTTAAGAGACAAAGAATTCTGACAGTTGTAAATATGTATATATTCCAATGCCTTGTTAGTATTAAGAACAGCATGAATGACTAACATGTAACCAGTTCAGTGCACAATCATGACACTAGGTTTAGTTCTAAGCTTGTCATTCCTCGGTCCAGGACTGATAAAAGAGCTAGGTCATACCCTGTTTCAGGAATAAAACTGTTCAATCACCTTCCTGGTCATGTGAGAAATCTGGAAAGAAAGAACTTCCAAACCGCAATACTTGATTGGCTGATTAAAAATCCTTTTTTCAAATTCAAAGAGTTTTTTGAAACTGTATTTAGTTAAGTTTTCCTCTCAACAGCCTGTTTGCTGTTTTTGCATAGTGCATGCACATCTTTTGCTTGGTTTGATTTTTAAGTCTTGATATTTATTTTATTTTATGCTTGTACATTGACATAGCCTGTAACAATGTTGTTGTTGATTGGCCAAATAAATTCATTGTATTCATTGTATTCATTGTATAGCATCGAATCAACCTGACCATAACCCACCTGCAAACTGCACCTTGATCACAATGGCAACAGAAACCAAATTCCTCGGTATCACCCTGGACAAAAACTTGTCCTGGCACCTACATATAGAAAACCTGGAAAAGAAATTGTCAACAACACTCTTTGCAATAAGAAGGATTTGGTCAGTGACTGATAAGAGTACAGCCAAAATAGCATACTTTGCCCTATTCGAAAGTCACTTGAGGTATGGCATCATAGCCTGGGGCCAGTGTTTCCATCCGCAAGAAAAAAATATCCCTGAGCCAACGTCAAAAAATCCCTAGTTATCCCTAGTCCGTGTTTTAATAATCCCTCCAATTATCCCTCTTCATCAAATCTAGATAACTTTATTTTTGCAGCAATACCAATGGATATCATGCATAGCCACCTAAAATATGGTAACTGGTGATAGTATTCTTCAATATCCCATATTATTTATAAAGTAATACTATATAAAAAACATTTTTGTACCATTAAAACCACAGCCATCTTTAACTCCAGGCAGGCCGCGGCCCAGTAGAATTGGCAACGCTGCAAGTACCGTAGTATTGTTTAGCGCAAGACGCCCTATAAGTTAACATGGAAATAAAACATAATATTATAGAATCGAAAACCAAAGCAATATAACAACGTTGCCACTTCGAAGGCCGCGGCCTCCAGCCTGGAATTAAAGGTAGCCATGATTTAAAACTGTCTATGTTGTACAAAACAAGATTAATTAACTAAAAAAATGAAACAAATAGTTATTTTTAAAATGTTATAAACTAATAATTTTTATTTATAAGTATTTACAATTGTTTCAAAAATATTACTCAAGTGTCCAAATTTCAAACTTAATTGTCTTTTTCAAACATGGCCACCATGCCTTGGTGAAAAGGTTACACCTACACCAAGTTACTTACTAACCAAAAAACACCACAGAAATCACCGGCAAACAAAATCAAAACGAAAACAAACATTCGACATTGACACAGGGCACAGGGCTACTAAGAAAGTAACAAATTACAGTAATCTAGATCCGCCATTCCATTCCACCGGCCGGACTCCAGCCCTTTGCTTGTTTCTTGCAGTGTTGGCTGTTACTCTTCCCCTTGTGTGTTCGTGTTCCGACTTTGAAACACTACGTCACTACCACTACCTACAACCATAGATAAAACATACTCCTTGAGGAGTATCTTTTATCTATGCTACAATCGATTTGTTACCAAAACCTAGGGAAAAAGTAGTATGATCAATGTGTTATCAATACCTTGCAAAATTAGCCAAAATAGGTCCTTAACGTTGTTGAAATACAGCCATAATGTATTATTTTATCAATATTTCAATTTTATAATGTCAAAGGCCTGAAATCCCTAGAAAATCTAAAAAATCCTTCAATTTCGCTGATTATCCCTAGTTATCCCTCAATCCCTTTTCAATCCCTCGAAGGCCCTAAATATCCCTAGAAAGGGATTTTTATCCCTCAAATGGAAACACTGCCTGGGGCTCAGCAGCAGACTACCATCTACAAAAGCTACTAATACTTCAAAAAAGAGCTGTGAGATCAATTGAACAACTGCAATATAGGGAACACTGCAAACCTTTTTTCACAACCAACCAAATCCTAACTTTACCCTCCTTGTACATCCTAGAAATAATGAAATTCCTAAAAAATGACCCCCCCCAAACCAGAAACAATTGCCATAACTACAACCTCAGAAATTTACAGACAAACTACAATCTACAACCACACAGACTCACTAAAACCAGCAGAAATCCAAAAATAATAGGAACTAAAATATTCAACACACTGCCAAACAACCTGAAATCAATAGATTCAAACACTCTTTTCTTAAAAAAACTGAAACAATACTTAATCAACAAACCTTACTATAGTCTAAATGAATATTTCGAAGACCACACACCCTACAACAATACATAACAACATCCAAAGAAGAAAGAAAAAGAAAAAACAAGAATTTTTGACGATTCCCTGGTCTCAACGACTATGGAGAAGAGGACCTAGGTAAAAGGTAAAAGGTAAAAGGCAGGAATTGGACTAGCCAACTGCGCATGCGCAAACCGTAAAATTGAGCTGATCTCAAATGAACGACTCTCACACAATTGAAGCAAAAGAGTTGTTTACTGTTCTGTCGTTCTTTTATCTGTCTGCCGCTGCCCCTGCCGTGCCCCAGCGATTGTAGTTTTCAAAGTCTTTAAGCTGTGTTTTTTTAAAAATAATTTGAGGTTTTATCGAAGTATCGTATGTTTTGAAGTCGGATTTAAGTGTATAAAAGAGTGTTTATTGTTATGCGTTCTACCGTGCCATCCCCGTGCACCCTTGTAAGTTAAAGTTAGTTTTTATACAGTAGGCCTAATCTTTAAAAGTGTTTGTTGTGTTTTGTTCCAAGTGTTGTCCAAATAAAACAAGGATACAGTTTCTTAATTGGGCTACACTAATA